ATATTATACATCGTATTATACATGAGATCGTATTATACATGAGATCGTATTATACATGAGATCGTATTATACATGAGATCATATTATACATGAGATCGTATTATACATGAGATCATATTATACATGAATAAATACAGTAGGTCATTTTGACCAAATTTGACTTGATCCTCATTTTGACATGATGGGTCACATATACTGTGTTGCATTGCTTGTTTTGAAAATGACTTGCTGCTGATAATTCCTGAACGGTTCTGATCTGAAGAGGTTGAAGAGCTGAGTCGTTATATCACATCTTTTTACTGAACAAAAAGAAATAAACTATTATCTGAAGAAAAGACCTGCGGACATTTAAAATAAATAACTTGTTCAAGCTGTCAGCTCTTAGTGTCGGGGCTGCTGCTACATTCATTTGACTACGGCTGCCTGAATCCTGGATATCTGTCAAAGTTTCATGATACAATAACCCAAATTCAACCTATATTCATCTGGATTCACCACAGAGACAAGATCTTTAATGTTCAAACAGAAAAACTTTATTGATTTTCTGTAAATCTTCACTCATTTTGATTTTGATGAAGCAGGTTCTAATGAATTTGGACAGGAGCAACAAAAAACTGGGAAAGTTGAGGAAGGCTAAAAAAAACACTTCATGAACAGGTGAACAGGTTCACTGGAAACTGGTGAGTCATGACTGGGTAAAAAGGAGCATTTATGAAAGGCTCAGTTCACAAGAAAGGATGGAGCAAAGTTCACTACTTTGTGAACAACTGTGTGAACAAATCAACAGTTTAAGAACAAAGTTTCTCTACGTTTATTTACAATAAAGTTAGTGATTTGATCCTCTACAGTTCATACTATCATGAACAGATTCAGAGAATCTGGACAAATCTCTGCAGCAGGTCTGAAAACCAACACTGACCTTTGACCCCTCAGGCAGCTCTGCATTCAAACCCCCACATCGTTCTGTAACAGAGATTAGCTCATGGGCTCAGGAAGACTTCAGGAACACAGACTGACACATGAACCTGTTCAGATTCATCAGAACCTGTTGCATCAAAATCAAAATGAGAGAATATAAAAACAAAGTTTATCAGTTTAAACTTAAATATCTTGTCTTTGCAGTGGATTCAGTTGAATATAGGTTGAAAATGATTTACAAATCATCATATTCTGTTTTTATTTATGTTTAACACAACTTCATTAGAATTATGATTGTTTATTCAGTTAAAGGTCTGTCTGACTCACAAACAGGCAGACTTGTTTTTGTTTGTGGACAGATTTGTTGCCTTCAGTTTGCATCGGGAAATTAAAAAAAAAAAACTGCAGTCAGAGCTGCAGGACTGATTTTGTTTTCCACTTCGTAGCCGTCCTGTTGCTCCTCAGTCAGGATGGAGCTACCTGCAACAAATGAAGGTGGGTCTGAGACCACCACCTCCACTCTGTGACCCGACAACAAATAATGTCTCACAAACACTTTGAGCATAAAAATGTTTCAACTCAAGTGAAGACCCCCTGTAAGCAGGTCTTAAAGACAAACTACAGCTTTGTTATTCAGCTGCAGAGTTAAACTGACTGTGACGTCACCTGAATCAATAAAAACAAATAAAGATAAAATAATTTAGACTCTCAGTGATTTCTTCTTGTTCCTGCAGCTTTCTGACTCCAGTTCTTCATTCAGGTTTCTGAATGTACGGATCCTAAATGGACCAAAACACACAGCAAAAATACAGCTTTAATAAAACTAGGGCAATAAATTATTTTCATTTCTGAACATGTATAAAATAAAAAATAATTAAACTTTTATTCTATTATGTAAGTAAATGTTATAGGCAGGATGATCTAGTTTTATAAGATAAATGTTTTATAGAGTTAAACACTTGGTTTAGTTTGTATAAAAATGTAATTTCAACATAATCTGACTTATTTTAGAACATTAGCATTTATATTTTACTTTATAATAATCTATTCAATAAGCACAAAACTGTAAAAACTTTAGAATGAGTTTAATTTGTTTTAAAGTCTGCCCCCTGGTGGCTCCTGATGGTAACAGCAGGGTTAAAACTTTCATCACCACATGATGAGCAGCTGAGGTTTACTGAATACAAGAAATGATTTTTTTTACAAGAATCATAGTAACCTCTGACTTTCAAACTCCTGTTTTTCACGATTTAATTAGTGTTTTATTTCTGATTCAGAGCCTGAGCTCAGATCTGAAGGGTTGAAAACAGCATCTGTCCACAGTTAGCCTGTTCTTCATGCTTCCTCTAAGTCCTGAACAAACAAAGCTAAGGACAGTTTAAATTAAGATAATGTGTGATTCCTAAAATTAAACCACTGCTGGGACTTTATTCAGGAATAAATAAATAAATAAATAAATAAATAAATAAAAACTCCAGTCGAGGCAGATGGTCTCCTGTCCTGAGCCTGGTTCTGCTGGAGCTTTATTCCTGATTAGCAGGGAGTTTTTCCTCTCCACCGTTTGCTCAGGATGGGAGACTGTGATGAAGTGATTCAACACAATCTGCTGCTTTCTTCTTTACATTGTTCTTTTTATCTACAGTGTCCTGAGACAATGTATGTTGTGACTTGGTGACATATAAATAAACTGAACTGAATAGAAAACTGAAACGTTTTTTACTTTGTAAAAGTTGTTTTTGTCTTTAATCGTCCAAACAGGCAGGAAACATTTGGACAGTCTGTCAGTTAATGTTGATAAACCCAGTAAAACAGCCACCAGTGTTTACATATATATATTTATTTTGTCTTATTGCAGTTCCAGGTTCTTGTTGACGTTCACAGCTCGGAGATCGGTGGAGATTTTGTTGTTTGTCTGCGGAGGAACTGGTTTCATTTACTTCCTGTCATCCCCTCAGCTGCTCGAGTGGAAAAATGTCAAAAACATTTTATTTATTTCGTTGTGGATACTTCACACTACAGGGACGTGCAAAAGTTTTCATCCCTCTGGGGAATCTTTCCACGTTGTTGCCTTACAACCTAAAAATAATTTAGATTTAGGAGATAATTGTACAAACATGTTCCAGAGTCATGACAGTAAAAAGTTGTAAATAACATTTGCAGGCTGTAAGGCAACAAACAGAGGGAGGAGCTGAGTCCAGCTGAGGGGACCAGGTGCAGGTCTACCAACACGTTTCTGTTCTGGACCATGTGGAACCTCATCACACACACACACACCATAAAGAATCAAACACTCCACCACTTCCAAGCCCTGATACACAAGTTTTAGTGTCAACACATTTGGCAAATTGTCATCATTGTCGTCATCATAAAAATAACAAAAACATTAAAAACAGACGAGTTCACATCAAAGTAGAATACAGATAGTACATCTTTACCCACAAAAGGTTCATGTTACGGCTACCTAGAAAAGAAAGAAAGCATCACCATGTTTACGAGTGTGTGTGCGTGTGTGTATGTGTGTGTGTGTGTGTACAGTTTGTAGAAACTATCAGCACAGGAACCCTCCACCCACCTGCCCAGGTAACAGCACAAATTAAAAAAATAAAAGCCCCACGTCACGTCAGAATCATTTGCATTCTCAAAATAAGCATCCGAATTAGCACAGAAGTTTCAGCTGGACAATAAAAATCTCAAAACGTTCAATAAAAAAAAGATATCTCAGTGCCAGCTATATATATATATATATATTCTATATCTTTATACTTTTGTTCTTTAAAACACTGTATAGTTTGTGTTGCTGTGGTCCCTGGAAACATCATGGAAAAAAAAACAAAAAGACACTGATCCCTAACGTTGTCCAGCTGTGTGTGTTTGTGTGTGTGTTTCTTTGTTTTGGTTTATTTTGTAGTTTCAGCTACTCTTAGTGTGTTACACATGTCAGAAAAGTGATTAGTGTGTTTAGTTTGTATTTAGTGTAGTCTGGTAGTGTTACATGAGAGAGCTGGGACCACCCGGACGTGGGCCCGGCTGTTCATGCGCTGGCGCTGATGCTCTGTTTGTACACAGCGTGGTAGGCGTTTCGCAGCAGGACGTAGGGGAAGCAGGACTCCAGCAGGTCCATGGTCAGGAAGGGAGACTCCTGCACAATCTGAAACACAACAACATCACAGAAACCTCAAATCCACGTGGCCTGCAGCCCTCCAGCTAAAGCTTTAACAAGGGTCTGGGTTAGGAATGGTGCTCAGCTACTACCACACCAACATGTAGGGGTATGTGTAGAAAACTGGTTGAGCTGTGTCTGTGTTTGCTGAGGTCCTTCTTCCACAGCAGTGAGTGATAATCAGCTGTCGTGTGTAAAGCTCTCACCATGTCCAGCAGCAGGTAAACAGATTCTCTGTTACGTGTTGTCATCTTGTCTGTTTCCTGGCCGATCTTCAGCAGGCTGGAGGAGGCCAGCTGCACACAAACACACACAAAAGACTTTTGTCTGATTGGATTCGCCACCTTGAGATGTACCAGCGGACATTAAGGCAGATGGGAAATTGTTATTGTCTGCCTGACCAAAAACATTTTCTCTGTTCCCAAACAACTGATTACAGAGTCGTCTCTCCCCACTCCCACATGAACGTTGTGGATCTAATTTCTCCTGGTGTTTACGTCGACTTGTTGCTCCTCCCTCCACCTCTCTGTCTAATCTGATCACCTGAAGGTCAATCTGGAGCTGCACAGAACGAACAATTCAGTACCAATATTCTGAACTATGGCTGAACTATGGGGGTTTCTTTTGGGAGGCTGGATTCTTGGGACTCATTCCCTCTGAACTCACTTACTCCTCTGGATAAAAAATGTGCTCTGTCTTCGTAGAGAATATTTTTTATAAACACCATAGTGTGTCATATTTCGATGATGGTAAATGGTACTGAACTTATAGAGCGCTTTTCAAGTCCCTCCGGACCCCAAAGCGCTTTACACTAACAGACATTCACCCATTCACACTCACATTCACACACTGATGATGGCAAACTACACTGTAGCCACAGCTGCCCTGGGGCACACTGACAGAGGCGAGGCTGCCATGCATCGGCGCCACCGGACCCTCTGACCACCATCAGTAGGCAAGGTGGGTGAAGTGTCTTGCCCAAGGACACAACGACTTAGACGGCTGGACAGGGGATCGAACCAGTGACCTTCTGTTTCCAGGACGACTCCCCTAACCACTCCGCCACAGCCGCCCCGATGATAAAATATGATGTTTTGTTTTTTTTTCCTCATCTATCCTTCTGTGGTTTAAAGGTAGCGTGACTCCTGCTGGTTACTGCGTGACCTGTCCACCTGTTCTTCCATGTTTTTTTCATGTGTATCTTCTTGAATGGGTGTTCTTAAATGTAATTTCATTGTGCACCAACCAAACCAACCAACCAACTTCTTAAAGTTTCATTGATGTAACCCTTCATTATTACCAGAACATCTAGCGTTTCATTTCTTGCAGTTAGTGTTTGATGTGTTGTAGCTAGTGTTTGATGTGTTGTAGTTAGTGTTTGATGTGTTGTAGCTAGTGTTTGATGTGTTGTAGCTAGTGTTTGATGTGTTGTAGTTAGTGTTTGATGTGTTGTAGCTAGTGTTTGATGTGTTGTAGCTAGTGTTTGATGCCTTGCAGTTAGTGTTTGATGTCTTGTAGCTAGTGTTTTGATGTGTTGTAGCTAGTGTTTGATGTCTTGTAGCTAGTGTTTGATGTGTTGTAGTTAGTGTTTGATGTGTTGTAGCTAGTGTTTGATGCCTTGCAGTTAGTGTTTGATATCTTGCAGTTAGTGTTTGATGTCTTGTAGTTAGTGTTTGATGTCTTGTAGTTAGTGTTTGATGTCTTGTAGTTAGTGTTTGATATCTTGCAGTTAGTGTTTGATGTCTTGTAGTTAGTGTTTGATGTGTTGTAGCTAGTGTTTGATGTGTTGTAGCTAGTGTTTGATGTCTTGTAG